ATGCCCCCGGCGAGGTAATATAGGATAAAGCCTATTTTGTACAACTTCCCCTCACTATCCCTGTCCGCATGTGCTGGACTGCAATGTGTGAATTTGAAATTCACACGCGTGAAATTCAAATTGGCCAATCAGAATTTTGTATCCAAACACCCAAATATAATTAAAAGAAAATCATTACCATATTGTAACACGTGCATTAAAAAAAATTTTTTTTTAATGAAAATTCATCAACTTTTAAGATGAATCCTTGTAAAAATTTAAAAAAGAATATGCAGTTGGAACATCCGTACAAAAAAAATATTAATATTAAAGGAAAATACTATTACTATTACTAATTACTATTTCCAGCCGTGGTCCCCACGCATCTACTATTTCTCTAATACTATAATAATTATTAAAATCGGCATATATAATTTTTTTCTAAATATAAGTGTATGGAGGGAGGGGTAGAAGATGAAATAGTTATACATTTGGAACTAGACATGCATTCAATTGCCCCATTAAACATCTGAAAAGTTGATGTGTATTGTAATTGTTAATTATATATAATTAATTAAAGTTAGAACTATTACATCTGAAAAGTTGATGTGTATTGTAATTGTTAATTATATATAATTAATTAAAGTTAGAACTAAACTCGATAATTTGGTCATTTTATTTATATAAACAAGTACTTTAAACAATGATTACTGCGTCCGACTTATCGGGTTTACTAATAACCCGAAAACGGAGATCTGTTCAGAATTCTAGAAGCAATCTACGAATAAAAATGGTTTTTACAAATGAATGAAATATTTAAGTTATAAATTAAACAACATAAATAAATACCTCTTGCTCAAAGGTCATTTGTTTGTCCTTTGTCTTTTTAATGGTCCAGTAATTTCACCAGTACCACAAATATTGTATTTGAGTTTACAGATAATTGGTCTTTAAGTACGAATCTTTCATTTATTCTATCAAACAAGTTATCATCAAATTTTACTTGAAAAATACATACTAATATTAAAATATTTATATAAAAAAAAATCGATGATATCATGCAACATAATTTTTTTAAAAAAAAAATCATTAATCATTATTATAATAATCTTAATCGATTAGGTTTTCCGTTACCTTTAGATCTTGGCCAGCGCATAAATGCTAGCTTAAGCAATCCTCCCTCATAAAACCACTTTTTTGGGTAATAAAGTAATGATCTACATTATTATATTATAATAATAAGAAGAAAGCAATTGGCTTTTGTTAAAATTTACCAGTACCAAGCTTGTTAAGCAAATCAATACCCTTGGCTGTATAAGCATAGCTTGGAGTTCTACTACGCAGATGAACTCCATTGAACCAATCAATACGACAATTTTTATCGAGTTTACTATTAATATTATTAATATCGATTCATAAGTAAGTCCAACGAAGTAATGACGTAACAAATGGTGCCTATTCGCCACTTTTAAGCTATTATTAACATTGCATACAATAAAAAATTTATTATTATTATTATTATTATTATGAAGAGGTCACACGATATACTTTTGTACTATGTAGCACGGTAGCACACTATCATTTAATACATTTAAATAATAAGGTAAAAAGGCTGTCGTTGTTTTACTAATGAATCGAATGGGTACAATATTAATATACTAAAGGCTCTGTTACAAGAATTTTAATTCTTGATAGAATTAAAATAATAATTATTTTATAACAACCAAGAAAGAAAGGCACATAATGAATTAATTTCACAAGAATTTTCATTTCATATCTCACTCCAAGGAAGAACACGAATGCTCAGGTGTGAGTTGGTTCATTGATGTTTTCATTCAGTTTTGGGATACCAAAGAACTTTCTGTACATCTTAAAATCGATCTACACAATTTATTGATCGTTACAAAGATCTACTGCGTACCCCATGTAATTGCTTGATTGTGCGAAGCAATTGATCTTATGTATTATTGTATCGTGGAATTTTGCACAACGTAGCGTTCTCTAAATATAGACAGAATTATTATTATATATAGTTAACGCGGATCGATACCAGTTATTCCGATATTAATTAATATTAATTAAAAAAAAACATAAATAAACAAAGCTCTTAATTTGGTAAGTAATGTAAAAAAAAATACGGTTAATCTAATTACCGATCTAGATTTTTTGGGAACGACAGGGTTGGTCAAACACATATGCTAATTTAATTAAATTAAAAACAACAATAGAACACGTAAATAATAATAATGGAATTATTTTTCAATGAAATTTGACATGAATCAATATTTGTTCGGATTAAAACGGGTTATAATGAACGCAGTATTAATAGTATATTAATATTAATATTAATTCCTCCAATTGAATTAAATCGTAGATCTTTAGTCAATTAATTTTCCAATTCATTATAAATATAACCACTTTTTATGTTCATCATTTTTTCCTCAGAGAAAAAGTTTTTTCTTTTTTTCTTTGATTAGCTGCTACCAATTTCAAAATAACACGATAAAATAAATTCATAATAATAACAACAATAATAGCAATAATGTCTTCGGATAATAATAACAATAATAAAAAAAATGATGATGGTGATAAAGAAAAATTGTCAAGTATATCAACTGGAGAAGAAACGACAACAACAACAACTGGAGATGAAACAACAACGACGACGACAACAACGACGATAATAACAACAACAACGATGACAGAAAATGAAAATGAAAATGAAAATGAAAAATCACAAAATGAAATAATCGATTTTTCTACAGCGGATAAATTATCACCACAAAATAAAGAATCAGAAAAAGAAAAAGAAAAATCACTAAATGAAGTAGTCGATTTTTCTACAGTGGATAAATTATCACTACAAAATAAAGAATCAGAAAAAGAAAAAGAAAAATCGCAAAATGAAGTAGTCGATTTTTCTACAGTGGATAAATTATCACCACAAAATAAAGAATCAGAAAATGAAAATGAAAAATCTTTAAATGAAATGATCGATTTTTCTACAGTGGATGAATTACCACCACAAAATAAAGAATCAGATGGTCCTTCTTCTTCAATTAATGAAAAGAAAATAAACGACGACGGCGACAATGATAAAAAGAACAAAAAAACCAAAAAGGAAAAAAAGGAAAAAGTTGAAACTGTACCTTTAGTTAAACTGTTTAGATTTGCTAGCCCATCAGATATATTATTTATGCTCGTTGGTTCTATAGGTGCTCTTGGTACCGGTATAGCAATTCCATTAATGACCATAATATTTTCTGGTTTTATACAAGTCTTTTTTGATTACAACCTGGCAATCAACACTGGACAACCACATGAAGAAGCTGCGAGTAAATTAGAAGACGGTGTTAAAAATTATGCATTTTATTTCATAGCTCTTGGTTGTGCCATTTTTGTATGTGCTAATTTACAAATGTGTTTTTGGATAATCGCCGGTGAAAGACAAACAAAGGTAATGATTATGATGATGATGATATTTTTATGATCTTTTTTTTTTAACTTTTTTAAATTATTTTTAGAGAATTCGTACATTATTTTATTCATCAATCATTCATCAAGATATCGAATTTTTTGATGATACATCAACTGGTGATTTAACTACACGTGTTACAGGTGATATTGGTATAATACAAGAAGGCATGTCTGAAAAATTAGGATTCGTAATTCAACAATTCACTTGTTTCATTGGAGGTTTTATTGTTGCTTTTGTTAAAGGTAAATATAATATTATTAATATGAAGAAGAAACAGGATAAAGAAAAATAATAATGATACATTTATATTAAGTTTAATCTTTTTTTTTTGATCTTCTTTATAGTATGGAAATTAACACTTGTGCTTTGTTCTGTATTTCCACTTCTTGCAATTTCTGGTGTTATCATGTCAAAATCTTTATCTAGTGATTCATCAGAAGGTCAAGGTAAAACAAAAATCATCAATACATATGTAATAACAACTTTATATGTTTATATGAATTAATAAATGAAATTAAACATTCATTTTTCACATTTAGGCGCATATGCTGAAGCAGGTGGTGTTGCAGAACAAGTATTATCCGGGATTAGAACAGTGGTGGCATTTGGTGGTGAACAGCGTGAAATACAACGTTACATCTCAAAACTTGAAATAGCATATAAATTTGGTAAAAGAAAATCAATTGTGAATGGTTTAGGAGTTGGTTTCATGTTACTTGTAATGTTTGGTAGTTATAGCTTAGCTTTTTGGTATGGTAGTATTTTGATCCTTAATGGTGAAGAAAATGGTGGTGATATTTTAAATGCATTTTTTGCTGTTATTATTGGTGGTAAGTTATATAAATATATATTATTTAATTATAAAATCACATTTATAAATATCATTTTAATCTATATTTATATGGCTTCTTTTTAGCATTTTCAATTGGTAACGCAGCTCCATATCTCGCATCAGTTAGCAATGCACTTGGTGCTGCTGCAAAAGTCTACAAGATAATAGATAGAGTACCAAAGATCGATTCATCTGCCGACAAAGGCAAAAAATTTGCCAAATCTGAGCTTAAAGGTTTCATCGAATTTAAAAATATCAGTTTTTCTTATCCATCAAGACCAGATATACAAGTCTTAAAAGATTTTAATTTGACAATTGAACCTGGTCAAACTGTTGCTTTGGTTGGTTCATCTGGCTCAGGAAAATCAACTATAGTCGGTCTAATTGAAAGATTTTATGACCCGTTGGAGGGTGAAATTTTATTTGACGGCATCAAAATCAAAGACATAAATATCAAATCGTTAAGAACTCAAATTGGTATGGTTGGTCAGGAACCCGTTTTATTTCCAGAAACTATCAAACAAAATATCATTTGGGGTGCTGATCCTGATGATGCTAAAGAACCCAGCCTAGATGAAATAATTGAAGTTTGTAAGAGATCAAATGCTCATGATTTCATTGATGAATTGCCCAATAAATATGATACTTTGGTCGGTGAAAAAGGATCTTTGATCTCAGGTGGTCAAAAACAAAGACTTGCAATTGCAAGAGCTTTAATCAAAAACCCTCCTATTCTTTTACTTGATGAAGCCACTTCTGCTCTTGACACTGAATCTGAAGGACTCGTACAAGAAGCGCTTGATAAAGCCTCAACAAACCGTACTACAATTGTTATAGCTCATCGTTTATCAACAATCAAAAATGCTGATAAAATCGTTGTAATGTCAAAAGGTGAAATTAAAGAAATTGGTAAGCATGACGAATTGATTGAAAGAGGTGGACTATATTATGGATTAGTTAAGGCTCAAGAATTAAAAAAATCTCATCACAAGGGAAAAAAAGATGTGAAAGGTGAAATTGAAGATGATGGTGATGATGATGATGATGATAGTAGTGAAGATTTAAGTACCCAACCAACAGAAGAAGATGAGACTTCTGTTATAATTGACGACAACTCGAATAAATTAAATCTGAAACGTCTTACGACCAAAGCATCTACCACTAAATCAGTTAAACTTACTGACGAAGAAATCGAAAAAGATAGATTGGAAAAGTTAAAACAAAAAACACCTTTAGGCAGAGTATTTAATTTAAATAAATCAGAATGGTACTTAATAGTTCCCGGTTCTATTGGTGCTATATTTACTGGATCAGTCATGCCTGTATTTGCCTTGGTGTTTTCTTCAATCTTGGAAGTATTTTCTAGAACTGATGAGTAAGTTGATAGATAAATAATATATATATATATATATATATGTATATATAATTTTTTTTTTAAAAAAAAAAGCGATTTTAACTAATTAACATTATATGTTTTATATTTAGTCCTGATGGACTTAGAAGTAAAGCAAATTTTTGGGCATCAATGTTTGCAGTCCTTGCATTAGTAGCGGGATTAGCAAACTTTTGTCAAATAGCATTATTTTCATTATCAGCTGAAAAATTGACAAAACGTCTACGTATCATGACATTCACATCACTTGTCAAACAAGAAGTTGCCTTTTTCGATGATGAAAAAAATGGAACAGGTGTTTTAACTTCTAAGTTAGCTGTTGACGCTTCAAAAGTTGAAGGTTTAACTGGTAGTTTGATGGGCAGTATAATACAAAACGTCACTAATTTGGTTCTTGGTTTAGTAAGTATTTTTATTTTATATTTTTTGGGGAAAAATATAATTTTATTATTGATTAATTGATTCGAGTATTATTATTATTTTGCTTTCAAAGGGAATTGCATTTTATTTCGGTTGGAAGCTTACATTAGTAATTTTAGCCGCCTCGCCAATCATCGCAATTGCTGGTTACTTGGAATTTAAAGCTCTTGCGGGTTTTGGTACAAAGGTAATTAACATTGTTTATTATCATCATCATCATTATTTTTACATCTACACAGTGAATCTCGATTTAGCGGATATTTTAGCGATTAGGAAAAGTTTTCCAAAAATTCGTTAAACTGAGATATCCGCTATATCGAGAAGGTTTTTATTATGGGACCGTCTTTTGAACTTTATCCGTAAAACCGAGATTTTTAATTAGTATCCGCTAAATCGAGATTCATTGTGTAATATTTTAAATCAATACTAAATTATTAATGATTTCCATTCTATTTGTATATATATTTATGATTAGACACGTGAAGCATATGAATCAACAGGACAAATTGTACAACAAAGTGTATCTAACATGAGGACAATAGCATCTTTGTCAAGAGAAGAGACATTTAAAAATAGGTTTATTGATGCGCTTAGAGAACCACATAAAATTGCTATTAGAGGTTCAACACTTGTTGGCTTTGGCTTTGGTGCGTCACAGGGTTTCGTATATTTCATTTGGTCATTAGCTTTTTGGTATGGTTCAAGGTTGATCATTAGCGGAGAATATACTACAGAAACAATGTTTAGAGTTTTATTCGTTGTTATTTTTTCTGCTGTTGCTGTTGGTCAAATGAGTTCTTTTGCACCAAATATTGCAAATGCTAAAGTAGCAGCCATCTCGATATTCGAAATAATTGATCGTAAATCAAAAATTGATGCAACTGATAGCGAGGGTAAAGATCGCCCAACTCCTGTTACAGGAGAATCAACAATTAAAGATGTGCATTTTAATTACCCAGCGAGACCAGACATAAAAATATTGAAAGGTTTAGATATGTCAATTGACGCAGGGAAAACAATAGCTTTAGTAGGATCGTCTGGAAGCGGTAAATCAACAGTTATATCATTATTGTTGAGATTTTATGATGTCAATTCAGGATCTGTTGAAGTTGAAAAGGTTGACGTCAAAACTTGGAATTTAGAATACTTGAGATCAAATTTAGCCCTAGTTGGACAAGAGCCCATATTATTTGATTTAACTATTGGAGAAAATATTGCATATGGCAAAGAAGGTGCATCGCAAGATGAGATTGAAAATGCAGCAAAAGGTGCTAACATACACGATTTCATTATGAGTTTGACAGATAAATATGACACAAAAACTGGAGAAAAAGGAACACAATTAAGCGGTGGGCAAAAACAAAGAGTTGCAATCGCAAGAGCATTGATCCGATCACCAAAATTATTGTTACTTGACGAAGCAACATCAGCTTTAGATTCGGAAAGTGAAAAGGTTGTTCAAGTTGCATTAGATAAAGCAAGTAAAGGTCGTACGACCTTAACTATTGCGCACAGATTATCAACAATACAAAATGCTGATTTAATATTAGTATGTAAGAAAGGTAAAATTGTGGAAAGTGGCAAACATTCAGAATTGATTTCTCAGAAAGGTTTATATTACGATTTAGTGAATAGACAAACCTTGATAAATCAAGCAAGTTAATTATTAATTAATTACAATTTTAAAAATTTAGAAATTTTATTTGTAAAAATCATAATTTTTTTATTTTTGTTTTTGGAGGATTTTTTTAAGATTTAAGGCTTTATAATTTATATAATACTAATAAATAATAACAATAATAATAATAATAATCATAATAATAAATAATAAAATATATAATTAAAAAATATAAAAATATTGTGTCACGTGTAGCGTTCGAAATAATATTCGATAGCAATATAAAGGATAGAAAGAGGACACAAAATATTCATTTACTCGATAGATCCTTTCTAAATAAAAAATTAACACGTAAATTTTTCAACGATATAAATAATAGTAATAGTAATTGTCGCGAACATTTGAAATTGTCACAAAGAACACTAGTCATATGCGCATGGTGAATATGTAAAAGTTTTGTTGACGAGCATATAAAATAAAAAATAACAATAAAGGAAACAAAATATTTTCCTTTTTCTAATTTCATTTTAAAAGATATTCTTTTAATTTTTAATAATCATCTTCTTTTCTTCTTCTCCTTCTTTTCCTCCTCTTTTACAAATAAATCACCATCGCTTGTCTTTTATTATTATAAACGGCAGCTATATCTCCACCATTCATAATGTTTCTTTTTCTTTGCGATTATATTCAATTGATTTTAAAAATTAGAAAGCTTATTTATATAAATGATAATTAGAATTTTATTTTACCTACGATGAGGTAATGAATGGTATTTATTTACTTTGGAGAGACGAAATTGAAAGTGAAATCGAATGTTTATTTGTAATAAAAATTTTGAATATATTTTTCTGTTCTTGAGTCAAAGAATTTTTAAAGAGTTTTAAATGCATTTTTTCTTCTTTTCCCTTGTCGTTGGAATTTATTCAGTTGCTTGGTTTATCAAGGTTTGTCATATGCGCTGATTTTGTTTGAACCCCAAAATCCAGTACGGTGTGATCATAACGTTATGAATACTTTATACTAGCAA